TTCTTGAACTATAAATTATGTTTCTTGGTTTCCATACGTGTTACTCCTATTAGTCAAATTACAGCATTCGATCCGAAATTATATTATGTTTTTATTTAGCATGTAATAATTCACCATTTAGTTAATGCTTGTGTTGACTAAATTACATGTAATTGAAAAGCAAATAATTTTTTTCTTGCCTGGCTGGATTAATTTATAAATGAAGTAAATAATTTTAGCTGAAAAAACCAACACATACGTAGCCTAGCTGCGACATTTCTTCATGCTAAAAGTATATCATAAATCAGAACCATTATCGTCCATAACGACGATATTCGAAAATAAAAACGAAGATATAGAAACTTTACGATATTTGTTTTCTGAAATTTCAAAATATGTTGAGAATTGTACTTTGGGAGTAAAACTTGTAATTAATGCAAATATAACCTGTTTCTAAAGGAAGTAGATATTTTTAGGCTAGCTTCAAGAATTCTGCATGCCACAATTTATTGCTATTTACTTACCTTGTACAATTCTACTCTTTAACAAATGACAGAATAATTCACAGATTGATTAGTGTAGTTGTATACGTGCGTTTATATTTAACTATACACGTGTATTTATTTAGCCAAACTCCGTTCTCCAGAATTATGGATTTATTCTGTTTAATGGTCCCCAGGAAATGGGAATTTGTTCATTTTTTTGATACATATTTTAAAAGAACGTAAACAAATGTGGGGGCAGAGTTTCCATAGGATTTTGGGGGGGGGGGGGGGGTGTTTGTAGGGGTGCGCATTAAATTAATCGAACTCGTAATTTCAAGCAGTACAACCACCCTCGTTTTACAAGGAATGTCGAAAAGATCAAACAAAGAGCAACAAATATTATCTAGACTGAGTGCCGCTTCTCACATTGCACATTATCTCATTTCGAAAGTCACCAAAGTAGCGAGAAAATCTAAACAAAATGACAGAGTTTAAGGCCAGATATATTCGAAAATTCTCTGCAAGTATAAAACGGGGCTCATTTGCAATCAGGGCATAACGCAAATCGAATTTCATTTTCCCATTATTATGATCAGAAAACAAAAAGAATAACAAAAAAGTGCTCCTCTAGTGATGCCCCTTGGCTTCCACTTTCTTTTGAGACTTTGCCTTTGCCTGGTAAAATAAGAAGAAAAAAAAATGTAAAATTTCATTATTTTCAACCATCGCCATTAATAAAAAGATCAGAAGAAATAGAATGACAGAAAGACATCCAACAAGAAGAAAAAGAATGCGTCGTACCATATCAATTTCTAGAGACTAGATATAATCCACAAAACTAAACAAGTGAAAACGAGAGGAGAAACAAATTACTTAAGACATAAATTCAGATAAACTAGTACT